GGGAAATTTACCTCGTGGTGTGACCAAATTCGGAGGGCGAATTAGCCATATTTACATTGAACCTTATAGGAAACTTTACCTCGACTTGAGACCAACTTGAGTTGCAACCAGAGTCACGGAACGGATTAAGTTCGTAACTAGAGGTACCACTGTATTCTGTTCCAATTTTTTAATGTTGTAAGGGCTGGACTTTTCCTCTGTCCAGATGGAAGGATTAATGCAACAACATTGATTCCCAGCTATTTTTTTTAATAGATTCTTTTTGTTAACAAGCTTTTCCAAAGCGAAGAAGGCATCTACCTTTTATTGCTGGAAAGGTGGGGTAACTAAAGCGAATGTATAATGATTTCATTGAGGCTGCTGTATTAATCTTGAGCAGAGCAAGGATTTATCATCCCTTGGTTTCATCATCCACTCACCCACACTGAATCTCATGTCTTTTTTTTAAAAAAACCTGTTTTTAAAAGTAAGTTTTAAAAGCCTTATTCTAATGGTATTTCCTCAGCACTATTGTATTTCCCTCTCTTAGAAGATAAATATTGTAGATAAAACCCTGATTTTGAATAATAGCAAGAAAGGTTTTTTAAAGCCCCAAGATTCACTTACAGCGCTGGTGAACTTTTACAATGTAGTTTTCATCTCAGCTCTGTACATTGCTCTATGCCAGTGATGGCGAACCTTTTGGGCTCGGCGTGTCAAAAATTCGGAAAATGCCTAACTTGACTCTGCTGACGTGTCACCCCTCCCCACCGAACAAAGGAGAAACGATTCTTTACATGTTCATTTATTTAAAAAAAAGACATTCCAGTCATGTGTGGTGCTATGCGTTATATAAAGAAACATCAAAGAATTGCAAAAATGAAATACGAGTAAAACAAACTCAGTTTGTTTGGTAACTCAGACAGGGAGAATTGTTGTCCGGTGTTGGTGAATGCTGGCGTGTCACCCAAAACATCGTGGCTTGTCACCTTTGACACGCGTGTCATAGGTTTGCCGTCACTGCTCTGTGCCTTTTGTGAGTGTGGAGCGCCCCAGCTTCATGCCTAGGCTGCTGGATGCAATGGAGCAGTTAACCCTGATGCTAGGAAGAGATACTACATCCTTCAGAGAAATATCTAACTATAACAGTAAATCTTTCTTCCTCTTTCTCTTGCCGCTGGATTTCAGGAGCTGTGGTGAGTGTGACACCTTTTCTGTAGCTCAAATTGCATCCTGATCAGCGAGGGAGGACCTATGGTAGACGTTGCTAGCATGCCCACCGTCTCTTAAATTTTAAATTCTGAAAGGTTTGGGCCCATTCCTCAGTCAATAAGCTTTTGATGGGTCCCAGAGTTATGATATGGTAAATGTTACTCCCTGGAATGACTGCTCTGGTAGAGTTGATCTGCTTGATTGTTTTCTCCCCCCGCCATTTCTGCTAAGGCCTCTTGTCTTTCCTCCTGCTCCAGGACTTCATCATTACAGTCATTATTTCTTTCCTGTGGCTGGTGTCCACGTCAGCCTGGGCGAAGGCGCTTGTCGATATCAAAGCATCCACCGGATCCAACATTGTTACAGAAATTAAAGATTGTGTTTCACAGCCTGGGTTTTGCCATTTCAATGAGATCAGGAGCATGGGATCCTTGAATGTGTCTGTGGTACGTAGCCATGATCACACAGTGGGCAGGGACAAGCTGGGGTGGGGTGGGTCTCCCATTGATATGAGGCTGCCAAAGACTCTTGGTCTGTCTCTGTTGGAGATAGAATTCTAGTCTAATAATTTAGTACCAATTGCAAGTTAGGTGAAGCTGAAGCTGGCAGTAGGAAGAATTGGAGCTAAACATGAGTGGGGGCATTGTCTTATTTTGACCTTTCCCCTCACTGTTTCTGACATCCTGTTTTTCCCCTTTCTCTTACGTTCTGATAACTACCTCTCTCTTCTAAGCAACAGCTGGTGGGAAGGGAACAGGGAGCAGAATTCTGAATTCAGAAAGTGTGAGGGACACTCTTTGAAAGGTTTAGGGTTCTTTGAAAGTGGCCCAAAGGCTGCATCAGGCACCAGGAGTTGCAGGTTGCCCAGGCTGGTCTAGATAAACCATCCAAAATAAGTTGTATTTATTTAAGAACATGCCTCTCTGAGGCGTGTTTGGTACTGGGGCATTGTTTGGGCTTGCTGGAAATTTGAATTCACACCCAACTCCCTAGGGCATGATGAGGAATATGAAAATTAGCTAGGTTCAAAGATTCTCAACTTTGAAAAGTTAGTGATCTAAAATGTTTACAACCTTATGGTTTGGGGGGGGGTGAGTTTTGCATGAAATACTGTATGTTCAAAATGAAAGTGCTATTGCTGGATCCTTTCAGTCCAGCTATACCCAGCCCTCAGTCATACAAATGAATTTTTCTCCCTGAGGATTTAGTATCTCATTTTCTGTATTTCCACACACCCCTTTGGGATGCCCTGTGGATTTTCTTCTCCAAGATGGAATTTCAGGATGGAGTCTGACTTTGGCATATTATTTTGTGTATCAAAAAGTGCTCCATAACAAAAGAGCATGGTTGCTTAGACTTGCTTCCTTTTCAGATCACACTTTCTGGCAGTTCATTTCAGTGGTTTAATTTTGTTTTTATATTTTGTTAAGTCTTGGCGGGGGGGGGGGGAACCCAGCAAGAATAAAGGATTGGAGCCCTTTTGAAGTTAGAAAAGAAATGGAGTAAACAGGATGTGTACATTTTATAAAATCATGAATGTTAAGGTAAAAGTGGGAGGCTGTCTGTAAGTGACTGGTAGGCCAACTTGTCTAGAAGGTGACCAGAATGGAATGCCTAGGCTAAAGCATACAACATTCATCAAGACTTTTTGTAACTGGAGACACATTTTCTTTGGCATGGATTCCAACAGTTCATACGAGACCCAGGAGGGCAGTGCTATCAAAATGTCATGCAAATGAGCGGAGCCAATTTTATTTTTAGGGAGGGCATATTTTGAGCCTTTCCACTTTTATTGCTAGCTACTTTCGATGGGTTGAGCCAATCCCAAGGTATGGCATGACTTACTTTCAATTCCTGATGTGAAACAGCTGGCAAACATGCCACACATTTTTAGCCATCTGCTCCCAAATGTTGGAGGAATTGGGGAATTGAGATGTGTGTGTCCATGCCTCAGGGCAGTGTGTCAGGGACTCTGTGCAAGCCATGGTTTGCTTACCCTGGAAATACATAGGCAGTCATTACAGAAGTATGAGTTTTGCTCACTGTGCTACTCAAAGATCTCCAGTGTTCCATACAGGAAAGTGACATTTTGCCTTCCTCTCTTAATTTGTACAAGTCTGTGTCAGAAACATGGCTGCTATCTTCCAGTTCCTTTATACCAGTGTTTTTCATACTTGGCAACTTTAAGATGTGTGGACTGGGGAATTCTGGGAGTTGAAGTCCACACATCTTAAAGTTGCCAAGTTTGAAAAACACTGCTTTATACCATGGCTGCACAACATCTGTTGTAATTCCAAGAAGCACAGTTTGAATAATATAATCCTAATGTGTGGTAACGCTCAACTAGACAATGTTGTTTGTCAAATATATTGTTTAAAGGTAGTCAATACATTTCCACCACTTTCTGAAGCAGGAATCAGGGCCTTTGCTTCAATTTTATGCTTGATCAACCCCCTTGAAATAAACCAGGCCGCTTAGGTCTAAAAGTCCATCTTTCCCACTTTCTGCTTACTCCTAGGTTGTTGGTTTCCTCAATCTGATTCTGTGGGCTGGCAATGCTTGGTTTGTCTACAAGGAAACTCACCTACATAACCCTTCCTCCAGCGCTTCTCCAAACGCAACCAGTTCCTCGTCTCCTTCAGGGATGTGAAGAGTTTGAAAAGGCCTTTGGTATGGAAAACAACCTCTCGCCTCAGGATGATCCTCATGGCTGTTATCTTCCTCCCTCCCCCTCTTCCTTTGTGTAATTGATGTGTGAAAAATTGATGGGTTTCCCTTTTGGGTTTTATGTTTTGTTCTTGCTCCAACACCGAAGCATGAGAGGACAGAATGGAGAGTGGCACCACGCAAGAGGACCATTGCGCTGTATCAAAACTTGTTCTCTGCATTGAAAAAGAGGACTTCGTTGTCTTGGGTTTGGAGGCTCAGCAGAGTTAATAGATAGTTGGGTGGGCAGTATTTCAGCTGATAGAAGGCAGCCTGCCATGTGTGTGATTGGAGTTGAGTTGTCCTGCTCTGTATGAAGTGTTACCTGTATCATGTATGCTTGCTTAGAAGGAAGTCCCTCTGAATTCAGTGGGGCTGACTGCCAAGTAAGCATGCTTACGATCATTCCCTAGAGGGGAATTGCACTTAAAGCAGCCAGCTTCATACTGATCTTGCCTCTTTGACTGCTGTGCAGAAAGCAATAAATACCTGGGCTTTGCAGTCAGTTCATGTGGAACTCCAGTCAACCAAATCCTTAAGATCTGTCCCTCTTGAGAATCCTACAGAGCTAGAAACCTTACAGTGCCAGTAATTGGTCTCCCTGCCCCCCCCCCCCCC